GTTGATGATTTGATAAGTCAGTTAGGGAAAGTCATTCTTGATCAGTCTTGTAGAGATAACAGAATTTGGAAACCTTCCCCTTCTGGTTTTTTCAATTGCTCTTCTTTCTATAACATTTTTCTTMAGACCTCTAACCTTGTAGGGAACTTTCCTTCAAAGGAGGTGTGGGGTAGCCCTATACCCCCTAAAATTCAGGCCTTTTGTTGGGAAGTGGTACTCCAAAATATCAACACCTTGGATTTATTGCAGAAAAAGAGGCCAAATATGTGCCTCTCCCCCCCCCCCATGTTTGTTGCCTCTGTTTGAGTTCTGGTGAGACAATTTCACATTTACTAATCTCATGTCCCTTTGTGTTCTTTATTTGGTCTTGGTTCTCTTCTCTCTTTGGTTGCAGGTGGATTCCCTCCTCGAGTGTGGTGAACCTCTTTGATCCAACTTTTTACAAGCAACCAACGGTTCGTGGAAGAATTATGTGGAGAGCCACTAGAGCTGCTGTATTGTGGTCAGTGTGGGAGGAAAGAAACAATAGGATCTTCAAAGGTAATTGCAGATCCAAGGAAGAGGTTGTGGAAGGAATAACTATTAAGGTTATCCATTGGTTGAAATCCTGTGATCTTTTTAAGGATTTCTCAATTGAAGACATTTATAGAAGTTGGGGTATTGTGGCATCTACTACTACTTCCAAAGCTATGATACAGGAAGTTTGGTCCCCACCGGCACAACAAAGGATGAAACTGAACTTTGATGGAAGCTTTATAGGTAATCCAGGCCCATCTGGTATAGGAGGTGTTTTCAAAGATAATGAAGGCAAGATAATGGCTTTGTTTTCAGGTCCAATAGGAGTTGGAGATTCCTTAAGAGCGGAAATATTGGCACTACATCAAGGTGTAAAACTGGCCAAACAATTGAGGCTACAGCAGATTGAGATAGAGGGAGACTCCAAGTTGGTAATTGGGTGGATGCAATCAGGGCAGCTGGGAATTTGGCAATATAGACAGCTGACAAGGGAAATTCTTAGCATAACAAGGGAGGTGGGTGTTTGGTTCAAGTGGGTAAGGAGATCAGCAAATAGTTTTGCTGATGCCCTAACAAAACAAAAGACTATAAGGGAGTCTTTATTGGGCAGTGTTATAATGTTTGATGTTTATTGGATCAACCTTTTCTAACAAGGGTTAAATTTTGTATATTATACTTGAGGAAGACTAGGAAATGACAATTTGTCTATAAGACTTTTTACAAAATTTTTATGGTACAACTAATGAATTTTTGGGTATTTTTTACCCAACTAGTTGTATTTTAGTTAATCGGTTATTTATGATTAGTGAATGCTTTGCAAAATATAGAAAAAAATTCACAATTTAAAAGTATTATTGAAATAATGGAAAATAAATTTAAAAAATATTGGGATAACATTTCTCTTTTTTATTGCTTATCTACAACTTTAGGTCTTAGGATTAAGAAAGATGGTTTAGATGTTTTACTTGAATCATATTGCGAAAATATGAATATTGAAATTGAAAATAAAAAAGAAGAAATTAATAATTTATTATTTGAAATGTATAATTTATATGAATATCAAGTGATAAAGCATAAGAAAACTGCAACATGTACATGTGCAACTTCCACTTTTGTAACTATTAGTTCTAATAGTGGAAAAGAAAAATTTTGGTCTCTAATAAGTAGGAGGCACAAATCTACTGCCACTTGATCAACAAGTTCATTTGTTGAACTTAATTTTTATTTACAAGCAATTTTTCTAATTTAGCTGATTAATTTTGATATTTTAGCCTAGTGGAGTGGACATGAAAAACATTATCCAGTTTTTGCTGCCATGGCATGTGATCTACTAACCCCTCCAGTGTCTACAGCTCCATCGGAATCATATTTTAGTACAGGTACTAGGGTGCTAGGCAACAAGAGAAACTACACGAATGATGAAAGTTTAAAAATGTGCATATGCTTGAAAGATTGGCTAAATGCTAAGGATAGACTACAAGACAAAGGTGGGCATGACACTACACCTGATGTTTTAGTGAAGAAGATGATCAAAGTCAAGGAGATGGAGATGCATGTGGAACTTGAAGAAAAATGATGAAGTCAATATCTTTTGTATACTCAATAATTATGTAGCATTTTTTTAAATTATTATAAATTTTGTTTTTCAATTTTATTTAAATTATTTGTTATTTTTTCAACAATGTAATTTTTTATTTTCAATTTATAATTTTATTATATTTTATTCAATTTTCCATATTCCATTCATCCATTGACCATTGTATTGTTCAAATTCAAATGAAATAAAATTCTTACTTCTTTTCCAATTTGTTGTCCATTTTGTATTTTGTTAAGTATTTTTTCATTTTTTGTTAATTTTTTTATTTTACCAATTTGCTCCCAAAGTTAAGTATTTTACTTGGCAAAAAAAGAAAAAATCAAAATTAAAAAAAAAAAAACAAAAACACAAATTAATCCGATACGGGTTGCAGCCCGCCCGACCCAAAGCTCGTGGCACAGCATGCCCGCATAGACTCAAGTTGTGGGCCATGCTAAGCCAACTCCTTAAAGTATCCTAGGAGAGGGAAGCACAGCCCGATTTACACCTCTAGATGAAGGTAAAAAGAAAAAAATTGAGTTTCATCAAGATCTAGTCTTCCCTCCAAAGGTGGACAGAGGCACATCCAAGCGTGTTAAGATGAAGAGGGTAAGATGGTAGAGCCTAGAGCGACATAAAGGTAAGAAGAAAGTGATTTAGCAGGAGTGGTTTGATCATGCTTGGGGTGGTGGGTTTAGCAAGGTTGGCTGATTATTTCTTTGGAGTTACTATTTTTCATTGGTATTTTCTATCACTGCTTGGAGAGGTATTTGATCCATGGCTATTGGTCATTTTCCGTGGACTAATTGTAAAAGCTTCAGCCACAAAGCTTTCTTTGCCTCTGTATCTTGCTACATCTTCCTTTCACCCCCTACCTTGCCAACACATCATCCCTACTGTTGACAAACAATGAGGACTAAGGAAACCTATTGTTAACAGTACAAATCACCAAAAGTAGAAAATAAGCTATGTCAAGAATGGATTTTATATGCATTTTGAAATTAAGACTATCCAAGAAGAACAATCAATCCAGAGATTCCATACCATGAAATTTGCACATTTAGACAATACCTAGATATGTAAGGAGTTTAACATATGTGAGAACGCATGTTCAAGTCTCAAAGCAGCCACTTTGTGCAGGAAAAAAATGCCAAAGGTTGGATCCATATCCAGTCTACCCCTCCAATGACCCCAGATAGCTGGGCCCAACATTGAGTAATGGCCTTTAAGGAGTGTAGCATGTGTTTATGGTAACATTACCAAGATACAAACAAGAAATTCAATTTACTAAGGGATAAAGGTTGTAGTACCTTCGACACAATTCAATTTGATCAGTGCAGTCAACCTTGCCCAAGAGGATACGCCCATCCAATTCAGGATCATATCTGGAAAGACAAAGGTAAATGAAAATCTCGAAAACCCCTAAAAAACTAAAAGGAAACCCATGTCATAAGTAGGAAGCTCCAAGGGTAATCTTTAGAAATTCCATATCCCATAGGAAAATGTAATAGAAAAGTATGCGACCACAAAGTACCTTTCTCTCATTATTTTAGCAGCCTTCTCCCAGGAAGGTCTCTGAAACCAATATCCAACATTAAAAGGCACCATGCACAAAAATTAGTCCTTAGAATGAAGAACCAATCAACCACTATAAAATGAACTACTAGCAAGCATGTTTAACTAATGAAACAAGAAAGCAATTCAAAATTATCAAACTATACGTTAGAAATTTAGTCACAACATAAAAATGCAAAAGCTTCAGCATTCTTGTTACAAAACTATCAGATGCAAGCAATGAATTCCAAGTGGTTAACCAGAAAAACTAAAAAAAGGCATTTTTCCATATCAGAGAAATATAAATAAAGATAAAAAACCAACATAAAACTAACATCCAATTACTCTGAGGTTGAAGCAGATAACTCCTCTTAAATTATTCAATATATTATAGGTGCTTTCTCTGTCCCTTACAATCAATGAGATGTTTTTTCATCCTTCCAATTATAAGAGTGTAAAAAGTGACTCTTGATGGTATTAAAAACACAAATTATGAAGAAAGTATTACAATTCACCCTTGAACCAATTTTAAAAGTTGATATACATCATTGGCTGGTTCCTAGGCCCACGGTCTTACTTCCATCAACTCGATTGAGAGAAATGATGTTATCATGTTTTCAACCATAACACCCCCCCTCCAAAAAAAAAAAAAAAAAACATCAATGCAGAATGAAGATGTTAGGCCACCTATCATAGTTCTAACCCTCTTATTTCCAAATGATGAGACTCCCTGTTTGTATGGCCAATACTATGGTTGTTTACACCATGATTTTTTTTTCAATAACAAAAACTTCATTGAATTCGATTAAGAAAGGATTACATACAAAAAGAGGGAGGTAAACTATCTTAACTCCCCCACAAGCAAAGAAAAATGTAAATATAGAATTAGAAATAAGCCCAAAACATAGAATCCATATTCACCCCTTGTTTGGCAAGCCCATCAACAAAAAAATTTGCAGTTTGTTTAACCCAACTGTACTTTATTTCAATATCTTTTGCCAACCAACTAAATTTCTTCCTCTCATTGTTGTATTTCCACATTCCAGGCTTATCATCCTTTAACCAGCTTACCACCTCCTCCGAATCCCCTTCAATAATCAGCCTCCTAATATTCAGGTCCCTTGCTTTTTGAAGCCCTTCCAAGGCTGCTGATATCTCAGCCCTACAAGAGTCACCCTCTCCAATTGGGCCAGAGAAAAGGGCCAGAGCATTCCCTTCCTCATTTCTGGTAACTCCCCCAATGCCTTATTGCCCTGGATTCCCAATGCTACTGCCATCAAAATTCAACTTTATATAACTAGCAGGAGGGGGAATCCAAGAAGGACTTGACCCTTTTAACCTGGGTTGAGTTTGTTATTTCTTTCCAACTTCTCAACAAATCATCCAAAGAAAAGTCTGTAAACAGATCCATGGATTTCAACTAGTGCACTACCCTTACATGGAACAGCTGTATTAAGTTCTCAGCAACCCTCTCCTTTTCCGAAAAAATCCTGGAGTTTCTTTCTTCCCACAAAGACCAACATACAACAGGCTTAACACTCCTCCAGTAGGAAAAGTTTGGATGATCTGTTTTGACATAAAAAAAAAAAAAAACTGTAAAAGAAAGAAGAAAAGGTTTTTGCTGAGAAAGAAAGAGAAGAGAGATAGAAGAGAATGGAAGAAACCAAAATTAGGTCTGGTCGCCCCTTTGATTAGATTATATACTTTTTTTTTCTTTTGGGTCAATAACAGATTCATTATATTCATTGAAACATCAAACTAATTACAGCACGGAAGACAAACACTCGTATCTTCCGAATACAACTTAAACCCTCCAAAGAGAGAAAAGGAAAAAAGAAACAGTTAAGTTACAACTTAGCCCAAAACATTGCTTCCCTTTCTATCCCTTGTTTAGCTAACCCATCAGCTAAAGAATTAGCTGATCTCTTAACCCAGCCCATCCTGATTTCCATCCCCCGCACCAGCCACCTGAATTTCCTCTTCTCATTTCTGTGGTTCCATAAGCCGCAGTTGTCTTTAATCAGCCACCCTATCACCGCCTCTGAGTCCCCTTCAATTAAGAGTCTTCTAACATTCATCTCCTTGGCTTTCTGAACTCCTTCCATAACTGCAAAGATCTCAGCTCTAAGGGAATCCCCCACACCAATTGAGCCTGAGAACAGGGCAGAGATGACCCCATTCTCATCCCTAAAAACACCTCCAATCCCTGATTGTCTAAGATTCCCCCTACAGCTCCCATCAAAATTTAATTTTAAGAAGCCAGCAGGTGGGGGAGTCCAAGACACCCTTATTATTGGTTTGATCTGTGTGCAATTTGCAATCTCACCCCACTTTCTCAACATGTCTTCCACTGTGTAGTTTGTAAATAGCTCTAGTGGTTTCAGCCACTGTACAGCCCTTACATGGATCACAGCCATCAATTCTTCAGCCTCTCTCTCCTTTTCTGAGAAGATCCTAGAATTTCTTTCTTCCCATAATGACCAGCATACTGTAGCCCTCAGCCCTCTCCACATAGTCCTTCCCCTTTTCATGTGCCACCTGAAAAAAGAAGGGGAAAAAAGGCTCTACAACTCTAATGGAGGGTTCCACCTGCACCCAAAGAGAGAAAAAGCCCACTCCCAAATTGACTTCGCAAATTGGCAAGACACCAATAAGTGAAAACCAGTCTCCCCATCCGCTTTGCAAAGAACACACCAATGAGATGACAAGCAAGTATTGGGTCTCTTCTTTTGGAGCAAATCCCCAGGCATTGAAATTTCCAAATAGACTTCCCAACAAAAACCACCAACCCTAGGAGGAATTGGTCTGCACCAAACCTCATTAACCGGGAAAGGAGAGGTTGCAAGACCGGTGAACTGGCAAAGGACTTTGAAGAAGGAAGCACAGGAAAAAGAGACCGTGGGGGTAGGAGTCCAAATTCTAGAGTCCACCTTAGAAGGGTTTAAGAACGCGTTATCAAGAAGTTCAAGGAGGCTCGAAATACTATCAAGGTCTGAATCCCTCACAGCCCTCCTCAAACACAGGTTCCACCCAAACCCCGAACTGGAAGAAGAATGGGTGATGAAAGAAGAAATTGGCTCATGTTTAAAATCAGAAAGAGAGCACAGAGACAAGTATGCCTATAGTAAGTCAGCTACTAATAAGAACTAAATAAGCATTCTTAACTTAAAAAATAAACTAATGGACCTAAGGCCCAATAACTCCCTAACTATGCTATGTAAATAAAAAACAATTAATATCAGCCCAAAACTCAACACTCCACATGATCCTACCCCTTTTCACTAATCAACTAAAAAAATGATGGAGAAAACAAATTCTATACATTCAGTGGGGGTTCCAACTACACCAAAACAGGGAAAAATCCCAATTCCAAACAGCTTTTGAATAATGGCAAGACACTAATAAGTGGTACCCAATCTCTCCATCATCTTTGCAAAGAATACACCTGTGTGGGGATAGACAAGTCTTGGGTCTTTTTCTTTGAAGTAGATCACAAGTGTTGATTCTTTCCAAGAAAGTTTCCCAACAGGAGGAGGAATAGGCTTGCACCATATCTCTTTAACAGGGAAAGGCACCCCAAGGGGAGCAGATTGTTGAATTAGGGATTCGAAAAACGAGGCACAAGAGAAACAACCCGAGGGGGAGAGGTTCAAATTCTGCAGTCTTCCTTTAGAGGGTTCAAAAACACATTTTCAAGGATTGCCAAAAGAGCCATAGTATTTCCTAAACCATGAAGTTTGGAATGGTGACAAGTTTGCACCATCATGATCTGCCTTGTGCATGTTGTAATTCTCAGTAAATATTCTGGCATATTCAATTTATCTCCAACAAATATGGCATAGTATTATCATAATACAACCATCAATTAGTAGGATCACAACAACTAAACATATAAAGCATAGAACTTAAAGGCATAGAAACAAAGATGAAATCATTTTGAGCAATCAAATGTAAAACTTAAAAAACAGTTAGTTTTGAAAACAGAGAAGAAGCAATAATTTTCTAGGTGTCATTACTTGGTATAATGGTAAAATCTCAACCTGGCAAGCACGAGGATGCAAGTTCAAGTCTGAGAGTTAGGGGTGCAACTTGGGTGGGCTCAGGTTGGGCTTTTGTCAAAATTTTAATGGGCCTACCCCAAAGACCCAAGCAATGTAAAATACTAAATTGGGCCAACCCAAGTTGCACCCCTACTGAGAGTGGCCACTTTGTGCAAAAAAAGGATGTCAAAGGTTAGGACTTTATCCAGTCTACCTCTCCCAAGACCCCAAATAGCCAGGACCTGATGGCCTTAGAGAAACAGTTGTTTTCTAACAGGAACTCCCCAATAATGATACATAATCGACACCAGAGTCACTGGAAAACCCAATAATGATACATATATATATATATATATATATATATATATATTTGTAAAAGGTAATGTAATTTTATTCAAATCAGAAACTCAAATACAGATGAAATTCAGACCCAAGAAGGCAGTCTGAAAAACAGCCGGGTTTACAATCTCCACCAAGAGCAAGACTGAAACAAATCGGACAAACTAAGATCTCTGAACTCCACAGAAATGGAAATCCAAGAAATCAACTTGCCCACTGCTCTCTGAATTACACCATCAAGACCTTTAGATCTATTACAAAAAACTCCACTATTCCTTTCAGCCCAAATGGACCACAAACAGCAGCAGGGATTGTCTTCCACATCAGCTTCCCTCTCTTACTTAGACCTTTTGATTTCCAACTACAAAGGTGCTCCTTAACCGATCTCGGCATAACCCATAACACCCAACACTTTGAGAAAATGCATCCAAATCTGAAAGGAGAACGAACAATGAAGACACAAATGATCTGTAGTTTTTGTAGCAGTCCCACAAAGAACACAAGCTGAATCCAGAATTTTTATGCCCCTTCTTAACAGATTGGACCTGGAAAGGCATTTGTCTAGGGCCATCATCCAAACCAGAAAATGAGATTTAGAGGGGCTTGTAGAATTCCATATCTGTGTAGCTGGGAAATCAGTATGCCCCACACTGCATAACTTAGAAGCCATGGAGTTCACAGAAAATACACCATCCGGCTTCCATTTCCAGCACCACTTATCATCCCCAAGCACATCTATCTTCTGCTTATGAAGGAGAGTCATCAGCTCCAAAAATTCTTCCAACTCCCAATCAAACAAATTCCTCCTTATGAGAAGGGACCAAGACACTAAATCCTCAAGCAAAGAGAAAATCAGCCACAGTAGCCTCTTGGTTAACAGCACATCTAAGAAGGAAAGGGAAGGAGCCAGCAAGGGGGCCATCCAAACACCACGTATCCTTCCAGAATTTTGTTCTATCACCTTTACCCACATTCACAGAAATCCCTTCCCAGAAAAGGGGAAAATTCTTTATAATTCCTTGATCAAGGAAAGGAAATAAGTTGGCAGATTTGAAAGGGTACCTTTTATCAAGGTCACCCTTCCTCCAAAAGAGAGGTATTTATCCTTCCAAGACTCTAATTTCCTCTCCAATCTTTCAATGACTGGATCCCAAATCGAAGAAGAGAGCCAATTAGCCCCCAAAGGCAAACCCAAATACTTCACAGGAAGAAATTCAGTCTTACAAGCCAACACCACAGCACACTCCTCTAAGTTACAAACCTGCCCCATTAGAATGATATGGCTTTTGTTCAAGTTCACTTTTAGTCCAGAAACCACCTCAAACTAGACTAAGATTCCAAGAATGAGTTCCAACTGGGACGGAGAAGCATCCACAAAACACAGAGTATCATCAGCAAACTGGAGAATATTGACCTCACCCCCCCCCGGACAGATAGCAAAGCCTTCCCAACTGCCAGCATCGGCTGCCTTCTTACAAAACAAGGTAAGGATTTCCATAACACAGATAAAAAGCAAAGGGGAAAGAGGGTCGCCCTGCCTCAGCCCCCTAGAACTCTCAAAAAAACCTGCTACTGGCCATTAATCAAGACTGAGAACTTAGGAGAGGATGTGCAAACTTTGATCCAGTTTCTCCATTTCTGCCCAAAATTCATATGCTGCAACACCAAATCAATGCACCTCCAGTTAACATGATCATAAACCTTCTCAATGTCTAGCTTACAAATTAAACCTGGGACCCCCTCTCTTCTTCTTGAGTGAATTAATTCATTTGCAATGAGGACCGAATCAAGCATCTGCCAAACAGGGACAAAGGCACTTTGATTGCTTGAAATAACACTTCCTAACACCCCTTTCATTCTCTCAACAAGGACTTTAGCCAGAATCTTATAAAAACTGTGAAGGAGACTAATTGGCCTGAATCTTTGACATTAACAGCCCCTTCAATTTTTGGGATGAGAGTGATGAAGGTGGCATTTAAACTTCTTTGGAAAGAGGCATTATCATGAAAAGCCTGAAAAACATTCACAAGGTCTTGCTTTACAATGTCCTCCAATATAAGGGAGAACATAATATCCAGAACTGACATAAGACATAAAAACTCTTTCTAAATATAGTTTCAAAGAAATTACACATCCATTACTATTTACATCTATCCAAAGTAAAATAGAATATCAAGACATACTTTAAGTTCTACCAAAAAAATATCCAAAGTAATAAAATCAAGACACACTTTACCTAATAAAATAATAAAAGGAGCAAATTTCCAAACTAAGGTAGTAAAGAATAAAGAAATAGTTTACTAAAAGACATCCATAAATTTACCAAAAAAGCAAAACCAATATCATAGAGGAAAATTCATTCAAAGAAATTTCTTACGTTAGATAATTAGAAGATCACTAAGCAAGTAAGCATATGAATGCATTTATGCATCATAAGCAGATCTGAAAAGTTAAGGAACTAATTTCATTATTAAGAGAAATTTTTCAAGATAAAGGCAAAAAACAGAGTAGGAACAGTACCAGGCGAGTACTCCAGGTGCACCAAGGGGCATAAAAGTTGACAACTAAAATCTGATAGCTGCAAAAGATATGTTTAGTGCACAGCAAATTGGGGTATCACTAAATCACCATAAAAAAATAGACAGCCTTACATGTAGATCTAACCCCTAACTCAAAAGAAAGGAGGAAAAAAATCCAAACATTACAAATTACTAATTCAAAGATCTGGAAAAGACTTGATCTACTTACTTATTTGCATATTTGTCAAAATTAGCAGAAGTTAGCGGGAAAGAACCTTCAACCAATGCTTCATCAAAATCATCCCCATGTTTAATAACCATGGGAATTGGTGCTGCGTGAAACTCAGAGCCAGTTGGATTTAAATGGGAATCTATTGAAAATTTATGGATTGTTTTTGTTATATTCAACCTGTTCTGCAAAGGAGAGGGGAAGGGTCTAGATTCAGGACATAATCAAGCAGGATTGAATATTGACAAGATAGAGAAATCAAAGTATCAAACTACTAAAATGAAAGACAATTTGCAACTAGGACCACATAAATGAACAATCGAATGAAAAATATTTCAATTTAATTAATGTATGCAGAAAATAAGATGGAACTTAGATTGACTATATGTTCATCTCACAAGCCAAATCTTATACCCCTCTTTCTGAAGCATGGTCCATCTTTATTGTGAAGGCAGAAAATGTAATTTGAATACTATTATTCAGTTCAATTCTCTATCACTAAGTCCTACATTTAAGGTATTAATTTATATTCTCCCTCATTGAATCATATATTTAGGGCCTTTTTGTTTCTCATCATTAAATTCTGCTAATTAAATCCATACATAATAACTTTAATAGTATAAAACTTATATTTCTAATATTGACCCAAAAACAAAACCGTATTTTTGTCTAGGATGTGGTTAAGAAATTCAACCATTTCGAGTCAAATGGGCTAACCCATGATGCCATAATTAAACAATAAAAATTCAAAAATAGATAAAATACAAAATATATAGAAAATAAAGGAAATTTGTAAAAAAAAAATAGAGCACATTTTTAATATTATGTATCTGTCAAGCTAAACAAAAATAAGTATGATAAATAAGAAATATTTTATTAATGATGAAAATTAATTTTTTTGATAGGCAAGCTGATATTCATTCAAAAAGGGAGGGCAAGCTGCATGCCAAAGCATGTACCCAAAAAAAAAAAAAGCTTTACAAGCATATCAATAATTCCCAGTTATAAATTCTGTGATACTGTATCAAAAATCAAAGAACTCCAACTGTTCAAAAAAGCTGTTATAGGTATATCTTCAAACACCTTTAAAACCCACACCCACTGAACCATCAACCACTTGTTGATTACAGCTTCAATAAGTGTAGGCCTGTCTTCAAAAACTCGACTATTCCTCTCCTTCCCCCCCCCCACCCCAAGTAAAGGGCCAGTGGAAGAATCTTCCAAAGGATTTTCCCTCTGGTGGAAAACCCTGCTCTAGGCCAAGAAGCTGTGAGGGAAAATTAGAGGATGTAAATATGGAGGATAGAAATCCCTCACTTTCCACAAGTCTATCAAAATAGCCATTGAACCTGGGCAACCCAAAGTTATAAATTAACAAAATGGACCCATAACTTTGTTGAATGGGTATAATGATTAAGCAGGTGGAGAACTGATTTCAGCAAGGATTTTTTTTTTTTTTTTTATCAGTAACAAAAAACTTTATTAATGATGTGAAACTTTGTGAAACGTTAATTACAATGGGGGGAGGTAAAATGTCTTAACTCCCCACCAACAGAATACATTGGAAGAAAGTTAAAAATTAGCCCAAAACAGAGATTCCCTATTCACCCCTTGCTTGGCTAACCCATCTGCAAATGAGTTAGCAGTCCTCTTCACCCAGCTGTATTGCACCTCAATGTCCCTACTCAGCCAATTGAATTTTTTTCTTTCATTGTTATAGCTCCACAAACCAATGTCTTCCTCCTTTAGCCATCTAATCACCACCTTTGAGATGTGATGAAATGTGATGATCAATGGTTAAGATTTTATTTATGCATGCTGTCCACATGAAGAAGGCAGACTTTTCTCAGAATGTGGAGTGACCAAATCCATCTCCAAGGAAAACAGCATCAGAATATTATTCATCACCTCACCTGTAACAAGTTGATTATTCTCTCCCTTTTCTTGCCATCCTATAATTAGTTTTAGTTTCCATTTCAATAGAAAACAGGCTAATTTATCAAAGTAAAAGGAAAAACTAGCTAAAATTTTCCTAGCTTTTCTTGCAAAAACCAACAATGCCCCCTTTCCCCACTAGTTTACCCTTATGCCTCGAAAATAATGATATTATATGGAAAATTGAAACAATATATTCAAAACACCTGATCTTACATTTTCATGACAGAAAAGGAATTTGAGATTCTTCTTTTTTTATTTTGCAATGGAATGAAAGATTCTGATGACTTGGCCCCATGAATCAATGTAAGCCTTACTATCTTTACCTTTTAAAGCAAGGAAAGCATTTTTTTGTAAGAGAAGGTAAAATATTTCACTATACTGATAATATAACACAAAACGTATATAAAGCCCTGCACAATAAGGCACTGTGCATGGCAAGTATTTTCTTTTTTTCTTTTTTTTTATCAATAACAACAGATTTCATTAAATAGTAGTAAACTTACAAAGAAGAGGAGCTAAGGTATCTTAACTCCCCAGAAGTTAGGAATGCACCCAAACAGATAAAAATAACAATTACAACTGAACCCTGAACCCAGAAACCCTGTTAACCCCTTGCCTAGCTAATCCATCAGCAAAGGAGTTTACATCTCTCTTTACCCAAGTACACTGAACTTCCATATTCTGGATCAGCCATTTGAAATTTCTCTTTTCATTACTGAAGCTCCACATCTTAGAAGTGTCTTCTTTTAGCCAGTCCACTATGCTCACAGAATCTCCCTCTATAATCAATTTATTGACATTTAGGTCTTTAGCCCTTTGTACCCCTTCTCAAGCTGCTAACACCTCAGCTCTCAAAGAGTCTCCCACTCCAATTGGACCAGAGAACATAGCTATTACATTACCTTTCTCATCTCTTAACACCCCCCCCCCCCAATACCCGAAAGCCCTGGATTCCTCATGCTACTGCCATCAAAATTCAGTTTGATAAAACCAGGGGGTGGAGGGTTCCATGTGAGATTCGAGATTTTCTTAATTGAGACTGACCTAGCAATTTCTTTCCATTTTCTTAACATATCATCTGTCGAAAAATCTGTGAACTCATCCATTGCTTTCAGCCAGTGTATTACTCTTATATGAATCACTTCTAGCATAGTTTCCAAACCTCTCCTTTTCTGAAAAGATCCTTGAAATTCTTTCTTCCCATATTGTCCAACAAACAGCAGCTCTCACACATCTCCACATGATTCTTGTTCTTTTTGTTGGGCAGTCAAGAGAAGAAGAGGAAAACAAGCTTTGCACATTTGTTGGGGAGATCCGCCTGCACCCAAACAAAGAAGCAAACCATTCCCAAATATTTTTTTGTTGGGCAAGTATTTTCTTTTTACAAACCAAAAACTATGTTTCAATCAACTAGATACAAAAAGATTACTGTAATCACAAAAATTAAAAATAAAAGAGTTCTAAGGTATATCCTTGAATATCATGTTTGCTGCTGCCCAAGAGTATATTCTGCCCCCGACTTCAGAATGACCACATCACTGCTGCTGGAACTACTCCCCATAAATTTTTTCCTTTCCAAGACAAACCACACAGATTCCAGCTCCATAATAATTTCAACAGATATTTTGGAAAAAGAAAACTGTACTCAAACAACCTCAAAGACTTCAACCACAGCTCCCTTGGCAAACTTGCAATGCATGAAAAGATGTTCCACCCCCTCATTATACATTATACATTTGCTAGGTTCCACCTTCATCCCTCTCTTCAATTGGTTTTCAGCTGTTAAACACTTCTCCAGTGCTGCCACCCACGTAAAATAAATAAGTAAAACCTACACTGAGAGAAAGCTCTCCTACTCTTCAATACAGCATTAACCCTCAAAGACTTTAAAACCTGAACCAATATAAATAAGAACTTAAAATTTTGTCTAATCAACACTTTTTCTTTTCTTCTTTTCCTATAACAAAAATAAGGGTTCAGCCCCTATATTTTTTGAATTTTCTTTTCCTTCTTCTTTTTCTTCTCATGAATATGTTGATTTTCTATATTTCAACATGAACTCTATACTTTTCTTATGAAAATTATGTATAATTATTAAGGAAATATGACTATGGTACCTAGGGAACTACCCTAGGATCTATGTTTTCTACATAAAAAATCCACCGCTTGGTGCCTTGAAAACTATGCCTGTTATAAAAGGACTTTACTGTGAAAGTGCCTGATTTCTCCCCACCCAAAACCTTTTATCACTTCTTGATCTATCCACCCTCACTGTTCCCATTGTTCAATCTCCCAGCCATTTATATTCCTTCTAAAAGTGGGACACTAAACTCCTACCCTCCTCCTGTGAGAACTGTTGTGGAACTTGATAGTATGGGCCTTGGCCCATTTGTGTTATGTCTTCCTATTTCTTGTTGGGCTATACTTCAGTTATTTAACGGGCTTGGCTTCCTTATTTTAAGTTTCTCCATCCCTTACTAATGGGGGGTAAAGTTGTAATCTTATGTATTTTAATGTTGCCCTAATATAAATATAAATTTGATGGGCTGGATAGAAAACAGCAGCCCTATTCTAAATTTCTTCTTCTTTTCCTTCTGCTTCTTCAATGAGAGTACAAACATGGCATCAGATCATTAAGTCAATCTCATTCTGCTCGCCTATCTTCTTCACCTCATCTTTTGTCTTAAATTTTCTCTTTTATTGTTGGATTAACAAGGAGTTCTTCTACTGGTCATGGTTGGCTGAAGGTTTTTTGGAGTTTTTCCTTGGAAAAACTCTAAGGAGACCCAGAATAGTTGCTGGTATTCCCAGGTAAGGCAAGAAACCATGGAGTAGTCGAATGGGCTAATAGAAAGACCTATTTAACAGGTCTAGCCACTGGACTTCTAGTAGTATCAGTCTAGGAGTTTAGTCCACAGTCCAGCCAAGCTTGTTTGGGAAGCTTGAGTAAAGGGGAGTGTTGTTAGTTCTTTTCTCTTGTTGTTCTGAGTTCTGCTGAGGTAGTAGTCGACTACTAAGAAATCTCTTTGTGTAGTAGTCAACTACTAGCAACAAGATACTATTAGTAGTCAACTACTAAGAAATCACTTCGTCTGGGGGAGAGTTAGGTTTTTTTACCACTCTCTACAGTGCTGTAATTATTTCTCTAATTAATTAATATAAAGTGTTATTGATCAAAAATAAATAAATAATTGATTACTAACAAGTAGCAGTCGACTACTTGCTACAGGATATTACTTTGAGTGAGTTCATAATGTCTTCTAGCACTATTGAGGTATCCTCTGGAGGCTTTAGGACTGTTGACAATGTTATTCACCTTGGAAATCCTATGGTACAGATTACTAATGTGAAGCTAGATGAATACAACTATAAGGAATGGGCCATTTCAGCAAAATGGTCCATAGTGAATCATGGACTACATGGCTACATCAATGGGAAGATTAAGGAGTCCAAGGATGATGAACCAAGTTATAGGACTTGGTGTAGAGAAAATGCAATTGTGATGTCATTTCTCAAAGAAATACTTTTTGGGAATTGAAGTAGCAATATCGAAGAAGGGTATTTTCATTTCTCAAAGAAAATATGTTCTTGACTTGCTCCATGATGTTGTTGGGGTGTAAACCAGTTGGAACCCCAATTGACCCTAACCACAAGTTGAATGCCACAGATGGAGATGTTCTTCCGAATAAAGAGGTCTATCAAAGATTGGTTGGTCATCTTCTTTATCTATGTTTGACAAGACCAGATATATCTTATGCAGCCAATGTGGTTAGTCAATATATGCATGAGCTCAGAACCTCTCACATGTAAGCTATCAAAAGGATTCTCGCTTACTTGAAGAGGTGTCCTGGAAAAGGAATGTTATACTCGAATCATGGGCATTTGAAGATTGAGGCTTACACAGATGCAGATTGGGCAAGGTCAATGGACAACAGAAAATCTACTTCTGGTTATTGTGCCTTAGTTGGGGGCAATGTGATATCTTGGAGGAGCAAGAAGCGATCTATTGACGGAAATGGGAATTCCAAAAGAAAATTCTAGGAGACTTTATTGTGACAATCAAACAGCTATCATTCAGCATGACTGTACAAAACATATTGAAGTGGATAGGCATTTCATCCAAGAGAAAATTGATAATGGAGAAATTTGCCTACCCTTTGTAAGATCTGAGGATCAACTTGTTGATTGCTTTACTAAAGGAGTTCACAATCCGAAGTTCAATTAGAGAGGAAGAGAACCGAAGGCTTCAAGCCCCTGCCCAACTCCATCGCACCTCAGCTCCAGCAGGTAAGTTCTTCTTCTTCTTCTTCTTCTTCTTCTTCTTCTTCTTTCTTCTTTTCCAGATTTCGGACATTTTTTCCTTTTTTTTTTGAAAAAACAGGGGTTCCACCAGTCCTCCCTTTCTGTACTCATCATCATCATCAGTCCTCCCCTTCTTCTTCTTCTTCTTCTTCTTCTTCTTCTTCTTCTTCTTCTTCTTCGCCTTGACAACTATGATAATAACCTAGGCAAGCTGGGCATGATAGATGAGGGGAGTGTTGAGAATATGCAATATGATGAAAGGGCTTTTTCAGGTTTTTCATTTCCTCTTTGTATTTAGGTGCCCAAGTAAGGGCAAACTTGTACTTTCAGCAAAATTATAAAGTTTTTGTCTCTGGTGTGAACAGTAACTTGAGACACACTTTCATAACTTTCTTCTTCTCTTCTTCTCTTCTTCTCTTCTTCTCTTCTTCTTCCTTTGTTTTCTGGTCTTCACCTTAAACAACTATTTATTATTTATATACCTTGTATTTGCTTGGTCAGTGTTTAGCCTATGTAATATGTCAACCATTGGTCCTAGTGCATTTTACCAATCATTCTGTTAAAGTTAATGATATTCAAAAAGAACGTATCACCTTTTTACGAGGCTCAATTAACTAGGTTATAAATATACTGAATGCCAAGAACTTACAGTTCCCAAGACATCACTAACATCAACAGATGCAAATTCACATGAGAGAGCTGGGAAACTGCAAAAGAAGAAAGAAGAGAAATCAGACTTCTCAAGAACAGGAGTAATAATAGTAATATACAAGTACAACCAAATTATATACTGCCAAGAAAAGCAGTAATAGTAGTACGAGCATAATATACTAGTACAAACCCTTAAAAATCTAGTACTACTATCAATATTAGCAACAACTAAATTAAATATTGTCAAATGATATGCCCAGACAATCTAAAGGAAATCCACCAAATGATAACATCAGTAAATTAATAGACTAACTGACTAATAAATATTATAAATGTTGGAAATTAAGAAGCCAAAATTGTTTATATTAAAATAATGGCAGGAAGAAGGTCTTTATATGTAAAGCCTACAAACTTAATGATAAAAATACTACAAAAGTCTCCTACACCTTTTGCTTTTTTGTTTGTTTGTTTTTTTTTTTTTTTTTCCGGATCAAAATATGCTTGACCAGTTTTTATGCTATGCTTCACCATACCTATCAAAAATATATTATCATGCTTCATCTCCAAAGTTCTGCTTTTTTTTTGTACAACAATCTTCTGCTTTTAAGTGGGTTTTTTAATCCAAAATTTCTACTTAGGAAGTTACCCTCAAGTTCCATACCAAGCAGCAGATAGCTCATTCTTGATTATCCTCTGAAAATTCTAATATTAATATGGAGATCCAAGAACAATCAGTTATAAATCATATTTCCAGAGAGTTGAAATGGAAAATCTGGACACCAGGTCAGACCACTCTTTTGAATTACATAAGAGTTTTCTACAAATTGACATAAATCATGATTGACTATAAAGAACTTTCAAAAAAGATTCATATTACCATAGAATAGCAGAAAGCCTCAAAGATTTCAGAGATCTGCATGCTGGAAACTACCATTTCAGCTGTATAAGGCATATAAGGAATGTTTAAGGCAAAAAGGACATCAAGAGTTACTCTATTTTGTTCAATCCTGAAAAAGGTTTAATTCCTGAGTACTTTTAGGATGAGACAGAAAATCAACTGTTGGAGCTTAAATCCTAATTTTTTATGTCAAAATATGAGATAAGTGCATCCTTCGAAACACAGAATCTAAAAGTATGATGGAAGAGAAATAGAGAGGATCATCTCTCTGTTCAATTAAGTTGACTGGTTAGCTAACGACTAGTCAATCTAGCCAATTATAAAGTTATGTTAAAGCTTTATATTTTTTATTGTTTTCTCTAATTATTCAAAACAATATCATATATGTTTTTATTTATTTTGTTATATGCACGCTAATTTCTTTAAGCATTTGCAATGATACATGGTTGGGTGATGTTATATAAATAGAAATAAGGCATTTAATAAAAGAATATGGTGGAGTTCTTTTAAGTTTTCTTCCAATCAGTTGTATACTGGTATAAAGAGATGCCACAAACAAGGAGGTACAATAAATAATCAAGGTTGTATTCTTTCTTGGAAAACTGTGACTCCATGTCCTACCCTATCTACCTTACAAGGCAACACCTAGGCAGGTGCCTATGTGTTGTCCAATCAACACATTGAATATTATTTCTTCTTTCATCCTTTCTTTTCTTCTTTTCCTAGGACAAAAATCAGGGCTCAGCCCCTCTATTTTCTGAAGTTTCTTCTCTTTCTTCCATTTTTCATGAATATGTTGATTTTCTATGTTAAATATTATAGACATTTACTAGTAAAAGATGGTAGTTGCTTGTTATAGAACCTAGGAAACAAATATTGTAAACTAAATATTCAAAGCCATTCTTTTATTGCATATTTACATTCTATATATGGACTGGGATTGCATCAATATCTTCAATTCATAGCATTTTTTCCCGGTCAACTAGTCAGCACCTAGGCATCAATCAATCATCAGATTGACTAGGGTGGCCAAAACAGCTAGTTATTGCCTCAACACATTAATAGAACCATTGATGATTCAATAAAGTTTTCCCATTATTGATATAAACAAAAATTCTCATCATTAAAAACAGAAAAATCTCCTTGAAAAGGATGCCTTTCTACATTTAGTATGATCCTTTTCTCGTTCAAATGTAAACAGATATCTGGTTCTCTATTTTATCAATCTATCAAATTCATAAAGGATTTTGGCCTTAGCCTCTTCATTTGATATATGGAAAGAAGAAAAAGTGCTGCACAGGGATGGACACAGGAATGGAAAGCCAATACATGTCCAAGAGTCATACTTGGCAAGATGAGAAAACATGGCCTCGCAGGCATGTCTATGGAAAAGTATATACTAATAAAATAGTTCAGATTTTTGAATTTTAAAATTATATGCCTGCAAAAAAATGACATTCATCATGTACATTTAGCTGTTCATTTATGACAAATAAACCAGGAGATAAAAATGAAATGCTATGTAGAACAGTAGAAGTGTCCTCAAGAATCTGTGGAGTGAACTTTAACATCTCCAACATGGACACAACATCCATTTAGGAGAGTCCATGCAACACTAAGGAAAACACATGGTACATAAAGAATAAACCGCTGTTATGAGAAGCAGTTCACCTAGTATTAGGCAAATCCTTACAACCACCTAGGTTATATCAAATCATGCATAATTTTCCTAAGCATGATATTCTACAAGGCTATTTCCTTGTTGTATATTATGCCTGGGGGTGATATAAGCTGTTCCAAATAATTATTAGTACAAGCATAATGCATATCATTTAGTAAATTATGTCAAAAGAAGATGTAATATATTACATATTTCAAATGATCAAATTAGTTAAAGTTGTCTTCTTAGAAATATACAACTTTAATAACCACTGAAATGAACCAAATATCCAACTTATTTTAAACCCAGAGAATCTAGGCAGAGATGCCAGCTAAATCCATTACCTGGTCTCACTAAACATTCTGAAAACAATATGCAACAATGCTTAAATGCAAAAATGAAATTGAAAGGTCATTGCAAATCATTGAAAAGCAATAAGTGGAGACAACTCTACCTAATATTAAATTCAATGCGCAAGAACTCCCCATCCGAACTCTTATCGACAACAACAGATGTGGATGTGCTAACCGTCAAATAATCATTTAGTTCCTGACAGACATAAATCATTATTTACTCCTGAAATGGTAAAAGAAAACTTGATGGCTGGTACATGACTAGGGATGCCAGTGAGTTTGGTAAATGGTAAGCCTACCTTAGTCTGACCTTATTGGGTTGGGTTTGTGGAAGCCTTAGCAAGGTGTAGGATCAGATTTTGATTAAAAGAATCAACCCACATCAGGTTTGGTTTTGCCAGCCCAACCAGTCGGATCATTGTACCCCTGTATATAGAGGGGTTTTACAGCTGGTTAGGTCTTGTGACCCTTTATTTCAGGTTTTATGAATGTTATTGGTCAAGTTGGATTGGATTTTGGTAGCAGGTGTCTTAGGATAAGGTTGAGGCAAACCCATACCAAACCTGACCTATTCACATCCCTGTACATGACCAGCATGGCTTGACAAGAAAGAACAGTTTACTCATTATATATGATGGGATGCAGCAATATAAGAACTGAAAAGTGGTTGTGATGTGTGAAGTTTAGAAAAGAAAACAGAAAGAGAAAGAGAAGTTTCTAGGACAAACAATGCAGTATGTAAACAGAACACTGGCCAAGCAGAAATGACAGGAGTTAAGAATACAACAACAACCCATGAGGCCTTGAAACCTGCAACATAAAGAGTTGCAAGAAAACCTACCATTCCAAATAAAAACATCATGGAAAGGGCTGCTATGATGGATAACCCTGCACCTGACAATGATGCCTCAGTCAAATCTCTAGGAATTTTCCTGCAGACAAAAGAAAAGGCAACATAACTAAATAATTCCAGATAGTAGGTTTATGATCCACAAGGAGATATCAAACATAAAACATGGTCTTTTATTTGAAAAAAAAAAAATGAATAGGTAATTCAATTCAGCCAGTTCTTTAAGATCTAGTGCAAAATGGCATTCCCTGTTTCTTCTTGAAGATGGCCTGGTATGACAAGTCTCATAAAATGACATCATAGAAGGAATCATATGAAGCAAAATCCGACCACCATAAATACCAAGTATTTAAAGCCTATCAGATTTATCGTTCATGCAGTGTTTGTTCTGCAGTGAACCTTCTCTCCCTTTGCTAACGAAGAAGGAACAGCTTATTTTAAATAAATAACCTCTTCCTGCATTAAAGCTTTGGCAAAATGCTGGATAACTTCTTTGGGGTGTTAGATACGCTCTATCAGCGGACTTAGATTTTCTATGTTACAGGTTCTTCTACACACTTCCACGCACTGACCATAAGGAAGTATGAACTATGAACAATGACGAACATAACAATAACATTACTACAGGGAAGAGAAAATGAAAATCTAAAGTGCAATAGATATGTACGACGGAGAAAATAAAACACTGAATGCGTTTGTAGGAATGGAGAGAATGTATACCTTTCTCATTCTCAAACATGCATTCTCTATCAGAGATTTCACATCCAAAGTAAAAGACTAAGCAAACCCTTCAAGTCCGATATAATTCTTACAAATAGAAAAATTGCAGTCTTCCATGTGAAAAATGAAACTTTCTTCGTCGCAAAAAATAAATAAAAAATGAAATACCGGACATGTAAATATTAATGTTTTCTTTTTTGGATCAATGACATTTAAATATTCATGTTCAAATTAAAATAAAAGCAAAAGTATACAACGTACGCAAACTACTTCCAATTCGAACCGCTTTAAAAACCAGATCTTATAAGTAATCAACCAGATCACAGGGTCGTTTTTACGATTGCAAAAACAAGCAGCCTACATTTTTAGCTTTTTACGGAGTATCCAGAAACCACAGAAGAATTGAAGATAAAAGCAGAGATGTTACCTGTAAAAATCGAGTGATTTGATCTTACTAGACGAAATCATTTCTGATAACAGCTGAAGCCCTACAAGTTCAGGGCAGAGAGATCCAAAGAGAGCAATCAGTTCAGTTCTCGGCTATTTTTTCACTCGGATGCATGAATAGTGAACGAATTCCGGATTCGCCGGTCGCGAACGAGTCGTTTTTCCGTTTATATGGACCCCTGGGGGAGTTGCTCCGTCCTTCAGTATCTCCAAATGCGTATTTTAATTCACTGTATATACCCTCCCCCGTCAACGCACGCAGAAAAAATGCATAAAATGCTAAAGGTGACATGTGGAGCTGTAAACGGGTTGGATTCTAGCTACATTCTCATCCGATCCGATTATCAAACCTTTGAATTGATTCCAATCCGAAATCTGATTGGTTGGATGGATCGGATTCGAATTTAATCCACATCCGACTTATTGTGTTGGACAAAAAAAACTAGGAAAGAGTATAAATACAAAACTAGGAATGACCCCTACTAAGTACAGGACCATTAATCCTTTTTATATGTTTTATCTAGAGAATGACCCTAAGGGGCAAATACAGTATTATTTAATTTAAAATTTACAATTTAAGTATAAAAAAAATTAAATTAGACATGAGTCTTATGTCTTTGTAATTAACAATCTATTCTGATCTACTTTGTTTGAAAATCACTATTACTTTATGTTGTTTTTAATATGCTTTAAGAGATTAAATGAGGCCTTATTTGTAAGCAGTAACCCACTTTAATTGGTATTTTTAATTATTTGATAAATTTATTTTTAAAAGCTAAATTAGATTATGCTACCCAAAAAAGTTAAATCTAGTTTGCAATTAATAAACTATTTCATAAAACCCACACCATTTGTATTATTTGTTTGGTCATTTTTATGAATTTCATTTATTTTTATTTTTATCCATTTAATATTTTGAATATTTTTAAGTTAAATTATTTGTTTAATTGTTACTTTTGAAATGGTTGCATTTGAATAAAATTCAGTTACTACCATAACATTTGAAGTGGCCACTATTTAGGAATTTGGATGCTACATGTGTAAATTTTAAGAGAGTGGAATAATCACTTTTTTGTGAGTGGATACTTTTTTAAGAGTAAGAATTTAACTTACTCTAAGGTTCAATCTATTGAAATTTTACAATGCCACCTATTTGAAGGGTGGGGGTTGTTGCCTAAAGACCTTCCTTTAATATGCAAATGCATACAAAGTACAAGGTTTTGCACTCTATATATTTGTATTTGTACTCCTTCCAAATTGAGCCAAGGGAGCATTGTAGAATGTGAATTGTTTTTTGGAAAATTCCAAAAACAAATCAAAAGATTCAAAACCATCTTATTTGAAAACAAATTGTTTTTTAAAACAATAACACAAAAAACATGTTATTAGTTGTGTGTACTGTTTTTTTCAAAAACCAAAAAACATATTCTTGAATATGGTTTCCAAAACATATTTTCATCAGATTATTCAATGTCATGTTCCATATATCATATAATTTCTATACAAGAAAATGTGCTTTTTGTTTCAAAAACCAATAATTTTTTGGTTTCAAAAACATGTATTGTTTTTTGAAACAAAACCAACTTGTTTTTCCCTTTGAAAACAAAAACAAAGTTCAAGAACATGTTTTTGTTTTTTATTTTATTTTATTTTATTTTTTGTAGATGTGGTGATTCCAAAAACAAATGAAAACACAAACATTCATGTTGTAAAATGCCCCCTAAAAAGTTTTTTTTTTAATTAAGAAGTGTATAAATATCTATTACCATATTTTTTATCAAAAAATATCTATTACCATATTTTTTATCAAAAAATATCTATTACCATATTTAAAACAAAACATGTCAGCATCCTTCTCCTTGCTCCCTTAGTAGGGCTCTCCTTGCAATTCCAACCCCAATTCAATCTACAAAAGGACTCTACCATGATTCACAAATAGATACTATCCAAAAAAAATCATCCCTTCATTGTGAAAGCCTTTTATTCACTTCTATCTCTTCTTGTCATTGTTTCAAATCTTTATTTTGGACGTCAAAACACCATCAACAAGGGCTTCTTCTTTCTCCCTTCTTTTCAATGTTTTAATATTTGTTTTGTACATCAAAATAGAGGCTCCGCCTCATTCTCTCCACCTATCTTTCCAGCAACCTTTTAGTTTTTCTTTTTTTTTCCTATGAGACTTATTGCAAACATTGTCTAAGATTTCATCTCTTGATCTGCCATCTCTTCTTCAACACCTTTTAATGGAAACACCCTCAATTTCGTCATTACCACTACCAACAATGGGCCTTTCATTGCAAAACATTTCCCATGAAAACAGTCTCTCCTAACCTCAGAGCAAAAATAAACTTTAGCTCTTCTATATTAAAGGGTTTAAATTTTTATGAAGGTTCAAAGTAGAGGTTGCAGAAAGATGGATTTACCAAGCACTGTCGGGGGGTTATGCTAAAGTTTCTGATGTAGAGTTCAAGAAGATTTGGTGGGGAGGAACCCACATACAATAATGATTAGTGTTAGAATGCTCGGTCAAGGGTATTTTGGTCATTCTGGTGTATCTTATTGAAAGTGAAATGTCTATTGTATCTGAGTTTAAGTTATGTGTCCCATCTTCTATGAGGGACAAAATTGTCTTTCTTGTAACTTAAGTTTTATGTATAAAAGTCAAGTGGGTCGGCTAGGAGAGTGACTTCAGAACATCCTCTCTTCTAGTCTGGCCGAACACTCTTTTCCTCTTCTTCTTCTTCTTTCTCTTTTCTTTCTTCTTCTCTACTTTAACCTAGAAACAACTAGGGTTTATTCACAGTTAGAATTCATGGAATGGTTGATTGCCATTTATTGGGATGTTTTGAAAGCTTTGGTGATGTTGAAAAGTGATGAGTCAGGCTATTTTGCGGGTATTTGATATTACTCATGTGGAAGTATTGGTTGGAAAAAATATTAAAAACATATAGGTGCAAAGTCTACAGTTCTCTTGCTACAAAATATTGCTCCATTTCCACAAGATAGGAAACAAAGGTGGCCAGGTAGTAGATTTGGATATTTTAATTACCTATGGCTAGGGCTATCAATTGGACTGGATTTGGTCCAACTCGATTGGGATCTACAATTTTAATTTCTAATAGATTATTGTAAATTTTAACAAAAATATAAATAGTTTACTCATATTATGACAATTGTATTTCCAAAATACTTCACCAAAATAATTATTTAATGTTTTAATTTAATTATTTAATATGGGTAAAATGTGGGTCCAAATTGGACCTGTTTTGATTCCAAACTAGAAAGGACATATTTAGTTTTGAACAAGTTAATTAGAAAACGAGTTGGATCCAACCCATATTTATCATCTGCCTAACCCATCTAAGAGTTACAGACAGTAGTTGTTCTTTCATGTGTAAATCCAATAACCGACTGATGTTGAACATGTACAGCACCTCTAGTCACCGCCGGTAGGTCTACCAAGTGCCAAATTAAGTTTTATATAATAAATCGATCAAGGTTAGGGCCATACCTATGAGTTATTTGAGATGCACATTGCTTGAACAGAAACAAAGTAAATTTTGTACATGAATAGAGAATGATTTGAGTTGGTCTAAATGCTAGTTTTTGTACACAAACAAATCGTTTCCAATGCCAAGTCACTAATTGTCAGCATCTGATTTTTGCTCAGTTTGCTGCCTGAACCTCCAATTCACCCCAAACACCTAATCAAACCCTTCCAACCTCTCCGAAACACCCAAAAACCTAGAAAACCCAAATTTCACCCCGAGAGCCATCGGATCCATTGTTTAACCTACCTGATACATATCTGATGGCACCGATCGACCCTCACTTACACCTCAACCATTAGATCATATACAACTGTCAAACTTGAGACATCCCAAAATACCTACCCATGAAATTTGAACTCAAGATTCCTTCGTTCACCCGTCTATCAAATAAAGATTCCATTTTAACCATTTTTGCACCCACAACCCATGTCCACTTGATCCGAACACATCTAAACCAATCAAACTTTTCCAATCACCCCAAAATACAAAAAAAAAAACCTTATTTATGAAATTCTAGCCCAAAACACCTCAATTTACCCTCAATCATACCAAGATTCCATTTACAAATCTGCCCGATCCGGGCCTCAATCTAATTTTACCAATAATCTCAGACTACCCAAACCTCCTGCCATTCTCTCTCTCTCTCTTCCTCCTTTCTTTTCTCTTCTTCTTCTCCTTCCTGCCATTTTTTTCCTTCCATTCCGTCACCGCCGCTGTAACTTGCAACGGCGATAGATCTGACCCGTCCTCCATCACACACTCACACACACTCTCTCTCTCTCACACACACAAACACACTCTCACTCTCCTTCCCTTCCACTACGTCCTTCATCGTTGTTTACTATCATTCTGGATCGTTGGTTCAATCCCCTGCAGCATATAAACTTGTCGTTTGAATCGAAGAGGATACATCAGCAGTGATTGGCGACTTCGTCGCCAGTTTGGAAATAACTCGCAGCTGTTACCGGCGATCTCCATCACTTTGCGCATCATCTGCACATAGTCTCTCCAACATTTCTATTTCCTCAAACACGTAGTGGAAGCTCTATCATGCCTCCCAGTCCAATAATAGTTGGATCATTTATTGTTTCATCAGAATCGATGCTTCATTCCACTGGTTTCTTGGAAATAATCTTCTACAATTATGGCCGTATAAGGATAGGTATTCGGGAGTGAAGAAGTTTCTCTCTTCTGACCTTTCTCATCTGTTGAACGCGGGGAATAGTAGCAACGCCGTTGTGTCTCCAGTTCTAACGATCACTCCTTATCAATCTCTCGTTTGCAGCAGTTTATCACGATCTTAGGCCACATCTCCATCTCCATCAAGTAACACTCAGTCTTTTTGCTTCTCCTACTACTAATTTTCACCCATTTTCTTTGGTTGTGCCGGATTGTTTTCTTCATATCTCTAGCTGAGAGGATTGAGGCCGAGCTATTTCAAACTCTAGTAAATCTCGGTATCAGCCTGGATTGGTTTATTCGATCCCTTTTTTTTAGATATACAGATTTGTTTGAATCAGTGATTATATTTTGTTTCTTGATTTTTATTTTTTTAGTATTTTGTTTTTTAAATCGAATATGCTAGTTCTCCCTGCTAGTTATTGTTAATTCTATATCAAATTTCAAAGTTCTTTCAAGTAGGGTAGTTGAAAATAATGAATAATTTGATCATTAGGTTCCATCT